CCCTATTGTGGCCCTACCCTACCCCCAGAGGTCATCATTTGAACAAATTTGAATCTATACTACCTGAGGATGTATGCTTCCATATCAATATGACTAATCATAGCTTTGCTGTTCTTAAGAAAAAAAAAATCAAGATTTCTGCCTATGTAAAACTTTGATCCCTAATTGTGGCTCCACCCATTTCCCCAGGGGTCATCATTCAAACGAACTTATTTGAGCCCTTTGTTGATGTGAGCTAAAAATGATTTTAACAGGTGATAAATGACACTAGACAGGCAGAGATTTCAGTCAAATGAGTCTTAATTCCAATTCTTAACATTGACCTAACTATTTACCTTTGAGTCTTTGACCCTAACTAAAGGAATTTACCTTTGACCTTTAGATGAACATGAGTAAGATCATCTCCACCTCCGTCTGTGTACGTCAGACTGCACTCGTATAATCCTTCATCACTACTCTTTATATTGGACAGTTCTAAAGACGATTGGTTCACTAAACGAACACGACCTCGGTAACCTTCTCTTATGAATTCTGGGTAATGCTGCATTTGTTGAAAGACCAGGATTTTTGTGAATGAATTGTCGCTATACTTCACCCATCGAATTAATGTTGCATGTGATGTATTACTTTTCATGAAACACTCCAAAACTTCCTTTGAACCGGCATCCACAAATTTAACTGTAACTCCCTCAGCTTTTACTATACCTGTAAAAGAGTCAACACTATCAAAAATTATCAAATTACAATATGAAATATTCACAAGAACAAAGCATCCACAGATGCATTAGATTTGAGATGAAAATCAAACATGATAAATGTTCAGGAGTTAAGTCTAGTCTTACATGTACATGTACCATAGTCAATGAAACAGAGAATATAGAATCATTTCTTTTTTTCCTTGCAAGTCTAGCTTAAACATATAAATGGATTTTTTTTAAAAATACCATTTAAACTTTGATCACCATATTTGTGATCCTACTCTAACACTAAATAGGGGTCATGAATTGAACAAGTTATCCCCCTTTCTCCCATGGATGCTTTGAGGCAAGTTTGATTAAAATTGACCCAGTGAATCTTCAGAAGAGGTCAAAATGTGAAAAGTTAATAGACTCAGAGAGTGAGGTAGTTGCTGAACAAAATATGATCAGAGAAGCTCACTTGGCTCAGGTGAGCTAATAAACAAGAGAGTTGTCAGATCACAAAACTTTTCCAGGCCATTATAATACAGCTTTATTATTACAAGATTTGGATAACATAAGAATTCAAATTGATTAATGTAAAATCTGAGAATTTTAAAAGACATCAAAAATTTTGATGTACGTATCATTTCTAATGGGATTTTTTTTTTTGCATCCTGGAAGCAGAGACATATGGCAGGGTAAATAACACTAATTATCTTGATGTCTAGAAAATGTGGTCGTAATATCTATCCTATATACAATCTTTCCAAGATAAAATTAATAAAGTTGTTTTCTTAAATGATATAACACAATGTATGTAACAGCAAAAGGTATTCTCTAAGATTATGCCCTTATAGATTATTGCATGTTCTAGCCATTCTAAATAATCTAACACTAGTTTGGTGCTATATACCATACCAAATATAATTACAAATTTAGTATCCACATTAGTTTCATTCCTAAAATTGGATGCCATTAGACGAGAACAAGAAAAAAGATATTGAGACTTATCCTACACAGTAATTAGATGATGTGCTGTATTGAATGCATTGAATGAGATCCGAATAAGACCGTATACAACTGTTCAATGTTAGAAAATTGCCAATATCCTACTCTCTTTCCCGTGCCTGTAAAGCAACATTTCTGGAAACAATTTTTACTAAATATAGTAGCATAATAAAACCAAAATTGACCATATCTTTAGACTCTTTCCTGTTATTTAACATTTACTCAATTTTTATACATGTATATAAATCCAAACATTTAGAAGCAAAAATAACTCAAAAAATCTTCAAGGAAATTGTGAATGCTTAGTTTGGGGTTTAATTCATATACAATTTTCTTCATATTCTACTTAAATTTGTATTGTATATCCTTTTGCAGTAAAACATACAATCAAATTTAAGAGAACTTAATCTGATCCAATATAAATGTATTTCATAGTATCTATTAAGTTTTAGGCTTTAAGAAAAACAGGAAATCAAAATCTTTTTACTGTTAGCACAAATTCCTTGTAGGTGTGTCTGCTGTAACCAGATTTTACTGTTATATGTAGAACTAATATCCACTGTAATTGATTGAACATCGTACCACCTCTAGTCATGTTTTTGTGTTAAAGTAAGACACAGTTACTGTATTTAGATCAAATTTTTATGAGACTTTATATTTGCAGGTTACTTAGTACTTGAAAGCAGGACAAAATGTTCACCAATACTAATTATTATTATATAAGCTTAAAATAAAGTAATAAAATTATAAGCAATTATCGAAATTTCCCTGAATAAAGAATATTAAAGTGAAGATACAGTTCTTGCGAATAAGAGTTATCTGACCCTCCACAGTAGTCAGGACCCAAAGAACATCAAAGTCACTTGACCTTGACCTCATACAATCAAGATGACCTTCTGGTTAGGATATGACATTGATACTGATGTTGCTCTACCAACTGAGCTAACCAGGCCAATATCCACAGCTCAAACCACTTTACATTCAAGCTGCTGGATCAAAATTTTAAAATTAAAAAATAATAGCTTCAATAGAAAAAAAAAATCATTAAAAACCTCCAGTAAATGACAGATTTACAGAGGAAAGGTCAACTCTTTTTAATAATAGATAAGTGCAATAAACTAAGAAAGCTAACATTTAGCTCTTTTTATTGCTCTAATATTATGGAAAACATCTCTACAATTCAATATAGTTTATGGTAATTGCATAAGAAAATGTTATCAAGCCTGTGGAATACTGATTAAATGAATCACAAAAACTCATATTTAATGACACAGAAAAATTCTAAAGCAGCTTTTATGCAGTTTTTGTTCTAATTTCGGTTAATATCAATGCATTGTGCGAGATAATTTGCAGCAAAATTGAGGCATGCTTCTTGCACTGAAAATGTCATCTTCCTCAATATGGAATTGCTTATTGAAATTCTTTAATCACCACATCTATAGCTGTTGATAAAAGTGTCTGTAAATGTTTTATGAGTTGTCTGATTGATTGAAATTGTTTTCTTGTCTGTCTCGTATCCAGAAAAAGTCAATTTTTTAACTTGGTGATGAACTCCATATCTCTCTCATGTCTCTTAATATAAAGAACTGATCAAATTACTAACATCAAATAATATGGTTAGTAGATGATATCATGTGTTTGTATCTGAATATAAAAATATTCTTTATTTCATTATAGCTACATAAAACTGGTGTGGACAGACACAGCACGCTATTTGGATTATCTTGGTCCTCATTCTGACATCAAACATGCAGATGGCAATGGTAGCCATTGAAAGAAAACCATAAAACAATTGAAATTTTAATATACTGCTTCTCTGGAATAAAGATGCACAGGATGTTTATGAAATCTGTATTAATTTTTTTTTTTTATTTGTAAGACTTAAAAGTTGTAGAACAAACTTTAAATAAAAAGATGAAAAACAATAACTGAGTCTAGTTTTTCAGCTTATAGTAGGGGCATCAAAATGCAAATCCAAATGCTAGCTGCCATGCACTTATTTCAATTATTATGTACTTGTAATTTAAGCCACACCCAACTTCTAGACAAGAAATATCCCCAAAGGAAATGCATGTCCGGTACGTTTGTTTTGCATTAGGTAAATGATACAAGAAAAGGTCACGGTCAAACAGTCAGACAGACAGAAGGATAAGGACTGTCAGATGGAAGGTTAGGACAGAAAATTGTCCATATGAAAAACATTATATGTCCCAATCATATTCATATTGGAGCATAATTAAATATTTACAAATTCAATACAAAATTAATTTGTTTTTGAATAGTTAAATCATGATTCGGAAATGTTAGAAAGTTAAATTGTAAATCTGAAGAAAAGATGATTTAGAATGAGTGTCAACAGAATATCTTAGTGAAAATTCAATAAAAGTCACTCGAAAACTACACCATTGATTATGCAAAAAAAAAAGGCCACTATTAGATTGGAAGATCTTAGAATTCCCAAAAGTATGGAGTTACTACACTATCCCACACTGTGTCCTCTGTCTGATATGTGAGCTTGGTTAACCCACTGAATGATCTAGACTCAGTGCTGGAGGTAGATTTATGGTGTCTTGAAGCAAGTGTTAAACTAATTTACCCCGCCAGTTGATGACACAGTGGCTACAGACTGTTGATTTCTCAGCATCCTGTAGGATGTCCATTACAGGATTATTGCTGGTCACCGTGAAATATCTTCACCATTTCTATAATGGGCGTGTGGGTGCATCTATAACAGCATTATAATCCCCGATAATCAAATGTACATGAGGAACCTTAGGGCAAGGCAGACCAATGTCTGTAAATGCGTGCATCACAAGAATGGATTCATTAGCACCCTTCAAGGACAAGCACTTATGTATGGTTGAAATAAATTTGATAATTTATAATTTTCTCAGGTGTCAATCCTGACTGCTGGCATCACACTTATAGTGTCAACATCCCACAAGCACGCTAGTGAGTGAGAGAAGTTCAAGTCCTACAATAATAGACTGAATTTTTGTGCCACAATTAGGGCCTATAATTATGTAGAGGATTCATACAGTAAGATTAAGGTGAAGATACAATATGCAAACCTACTCACTTTGACACCAACTTAAATGCTTCTTTACATAATAAATTTTCATTGAAAATTCAGGTACAGTGAATACTAACACTGAAGATAATGTATTTCCTTATCTTATAACTTCAATAAGTATTAATTTATATACAAATATAAAAAGTGTTATGTAAAGACACTGCGTAACTGTGAAAGATTTAACGTTCCGAGTTTGTGGTTTTCTATATTGAGTCCACATTGTCATTGCTGTAGACACACTGTTTACCATACTGAGTCCCCCCGGAATACTCTGTGTCCTCCGTCACTGAGAAATTGATGTCCACAGATTATACCGTCTGTAATTGTCTTGTTTTTCTTCCCAAATTATATTCAAATACTCTCTTTTATCCAGAATCACTGTTTAAATGCCGTAGAATAATCAGGACTAAAATCTATGCAAGAAAATAGAGATTCCAAAATCAATTTCAACCTAAGTGCCCTCATTAACAGGGTATATTTTTCTGTTATTGTTAGCAAGAATGGTTTTTTACTAATATAAAAATACTTTTAACAAAAAAAATCTCCTATAGCTCATTATTAAAAAAAAAACAATAAAACAACAACCTTGGAGTTGCTTTTCATCCCCCTGTAATGTACCATTCATCAGACAAGTTCCTGGTCAGTGGTGTCACATGATGATTGGAATTAATTGCAATGTGTTACATAATATCACTTAGTCATTTGCAGTTCTGTCTTAATGAAGTTTTCCATGGATGTTTTACTTGTAATTGAGTTTGTGAGCACTCCTTTACATCACCCATTACCATTTATTCTGCCTTGCATGATGAAATGCAAAGTTTTTTTTTCTCCAAAAAACAAAAAAGCCAAACAATATTCTCAGAACAATGTCAGGAACCGACCATTATCAAGGACTGCTACCAGCATTCATTAGCACAGATCAAGTGATCAAGGACTTCTACTAACACTCATTAACACAGATCAGATGATCTGCTATTACATAATACAACATCTTTCCATGGTGATGTTCCAGCTGCATGCAAAGAATTTCAATGAAATTTGCAGGAATTGGACCCCTCCTGTTCTGGTAAAAGTTACTCCTCAGAAAGTGTTACAATTAATGGTGCCCTGACATTTCTTTATTTATTGGCTTTATGTAACAGTCAAGGTCAAGGGTGTATGATGGAATTTCAGTCAAAGAGTACATTTTCTTCCAAAGAACTCAAATCTTAACTATGTTAAAATTAGTATTCTTCAAAATAATTAAACTTGCAAAAATTGATTGAAATTTAGCATTGTGTTATTTCTGCAGCTGCATTTTGCCAAACATTTGAAGAGTTCTAGCTGGATATAAATTTAAATAATGATATTGCTAATAATTTCTAGCACAAAGTAAACATTTTTGATATCTTTTTTAAAAGAGTGAAAATGGCACATATGAAAGGTATGTGGAATATTAAGTCCCGAATATTTATAAAGAAACACAGTTTCACAGAAGTTAATATTTTTGATATGATTGAAAAGATCGAGGATTAGGGCACCTGCAGAGTGGGGTCCTTATTATCATTAATTAATCTACTTAATACAATTAATATTCTGACGAGGACTGGGATGGAAACTGATAAAAAGAAACACAAGTCAGAAACAATGACAATTGTAAAGATAAACCTGCCATTGAAATCAATATTGATAAAGCAGGAACAACGTGTTTATAGCTTCCTGGTCTAAAAGATCAGAACCACAGTGCAGATCTGCATGTAATTGATTCTTCACAATCCTCATTCAAAAAACAATTGAAAATCATATAAAGAAGATTTTAATTGAAAGAGAACAGAGGCAGGTGATTCCTCCTGTAATACTCTGTAAACATCAAGGATCTTCTGAGAGCAATACCCGAGTCTGCATCCTGAGTGATATAACCCGAGTCTACGTCTACTGTTATTTAACCGGAGTCCTCATCCACTGATATAAGAGGCTCAAAGAAAGAAGGGAAATAAAATACGGGGAATGGCGGGGACACAAGTCTGGTTTTATTAAGAAAAAACAGATGAGACTTGATTAAAGGATGATGCATAGTAATAAATGGTGTCTTTTATTGAACAATTACTGAAGAAATATCGACAGATTTGCAATAAACATCCTGGTAACTGCAGTAAGCTCTTACAGCCAATGATTCCAGATTCTACATATCTCGCTCGACTCGAGATGTTTTTATTAATGCTCACCAACAGGAAGATGAAAACTATGAAAGTCCAAATCTACATTATACACTTATTTACTGTAACATAAATCACTGCATTCAAACCATAAATATCAGCAATAAATCAGCATATCCAGAAATGGCCAGGATGCAGCAAACAAGTGGGTTTTACTATAACAGTATCATGTGTATTTCCAGATCATTAGATTCCTGACTATTGGGTACTGTATCTATAGGCCTTGATTTTATTCTCATCTACTAAAGAAACAATATATAAGGCTATAGTCTGACTGGTGATTTTCTTCCAGTGTCTCGTATGACCCAATGGAGACACATAAACGAAAACAGAGAGAAAACATTCAGCTCAATACAAAATGGATTGTGCTGTAAATATGGTATTTATTTACATTCCATGGATTCGAGACAACTTTGATTATGTCTGCTACAGTGCAAAAAGATTAGTTTTACTTGAAGACTTGTTTGAAACAATTTTTTATAACTGATTAATCTCTTCCAAAAAAATTGTGAAATTCAGACTGAATTTGCTGACTTCTTTAGATCAATACAAAGATTTAGCCTGATTTGAAGGTTGGCTAACCATTGTATTGACTGAAAAATAGTACATGTAGTAATAATTGTATAATAGTAAATATGATATAAAATTAATCATTTTAGAATGTAATGTAGGGAAAAAATGAACTATTCACCTAGCTGAAAGCCAGGTGCTGATGAATAATTTTTAAAGCAAATATTTTATCAATTTTAAGAGTTTTGGATCTATTTTTAGGCCAAATATATTATAGTCATCTAGAAGGTCTGGTGTGAGTCAAATAACTTTTCATAACATATTGTATCAATCACAGGCACTTGTTTCGGAAATAAATGTTAACATATAGTATAATAATAACACAAGGTATCTAACTCTGAATTACACTCAGTCCCCCCTCTCCTCAGAAACGCACTCATTTACACTTTCAGAGTAAAAGCACAGGCAAACTGTTTATTACCACTGTCTTCTACGATAATTTATCTACACAACCATATACGGCATGCATGTCTTAGTTTTCATTTAGCTCCGTAAACAGCATCAAAACTCTGCCCGACGAGTGGAAAGTCGCATGTAATTCGGAGTTATATACCTTGTGTTATTATACTATGGGTTAAAAAATTTATTTCCAAAACAAGTGCCTGTGGTATCGAACTGGAAATTTTTTTAACTATTTTTAAACCAATGTAGACAAAATATATACCTAAAGTCGCACATGTGAATACAACTTGGTACAACTATTTGGTTCACAGCCAATAAGAGAATTATTTAAACATATAAAATACTAGTTTATTATTCTTTTTAGATTATGATGATATCAAAGTAGCAAAATTAAAATTTAAACATTTTTTTCTGTTTTTTTTTTCAGTGTAAATTACCCCTATGCATACATCTGAGTGCAGTAGAGCTGATTATATCAAATTTACCTTTTGTAATTGGACACCACCAAAAAGAAAGAGAAGTAATTAAAATCCATACAAGAGCACCATCATCTGAAAAGAGAGAAAAGATTTTTTAGTTTCCAAATTAGAAAAAAAAAACAAAAAACAATTTTATGTACTGATCCTGCCTGTTTTCTAATAAAGTTTAGCTAGCTAGCCATTGATTTTTCAAGTATTTTACAAATTCTACCTAAATCCAATTCCAAACCACACTGACTCTTACATCAAGTTGTCAAGGAGAAATGCATGCTATTACTTCAAGCACACAATTAAGAGTATGTAAATATGCATGCAATGCACAAGGTTGATAATGGGAGTCAGTGATTAGATATGATATTTCAAAAGATATTATAATTTTCAAAAATTCCATTTATATTTGTTTTCTCTGTGATAACTCTTTGAAAGTTTACTGGAGTTGATTTCTTGATCATTCTACTGGAAGTAAATTTTGCCAATCGATAGGGAAGGAGCAAGGCCTATATTTTGTTTTCTTCATTATCTTGATGATAACTCAGACAATGATTCCTAAAAACAGTTTAAAATTCAATATCGCACAGTTTGGGAGGAAGGTAAGAGCTACAGAACCATGGCAATGATTGACTTAATATGGAGATAAAAAAAATGGAAGACAAACTGCCATATATGGTTGTGTAGATAAATTATCATACATAAGAAAACTGTAATAAAAATTTGGCATTGCAATTTCTGTGAAAGTGTTAATGAATGATTCTGGGAAGGGGGGTGCTCCATGTAATTTGGAATTAGATTGAAAAGAGATACATGTAGATTGTGTTTTATTATACATGTACTATGGGTAAGGAGCTACCTGAGCACTGTGGCTAGGAAAAAGCAGAATTGGTTTATACTTGAAAAGCTTAAATGCCAAAAGTAGTCCCATGACCAATCCTGGCTTTGCTATTCTTGATTTTTATTTTCCTATACATTTCTATGTAAAACTTTGGTCGGCCGTTTTGGCCCCTCCCTACCCCTGGGGGTCAACTATTACACTACCTGATGCTTCCATATAAATATGATCAATTATGGCTTTGCTATTCTTGACCTATATATTTCTATGTAAAACTTTGGTCGGCCATTTTGGCCCCGCCCTACCCCTGGGGGTCATGATTTGAACAAACTGATTCCTTAAAATAAATTTGATCAATTATGGCTTTGTTGTTCTTGAAAAAATTTTTAAAGAAATTTCCTATATATTTCCACACAGTTTGAGAGAGGAATATAAATATGATCAATTATGGCCTTGCTATTCTTGAGAAGAAGATTTTTAAAGAATTTTCCTATATATTTCTAGAAAACTTAGGTTGGCATGGCAATGATTGAACAAACTTAATCTACACTACCTGGGATGCTTCCATATAAATAAAAATTATGGCTTTGTTGTTCTTGAAGAAGATTTTTAAAGAAATTTTCTATATATTTTTATGTAAAACTTTGCCATATACCATTGTGTAGATAAATTATCAATTTATCATGTATAAGAAAATTGTAATAAAAATTATTATGTATAAGAAAATTGTAATAAAATTTTGAGGATGCATATAAATATGCAATTTGGCTTTGTTGAAAGTTTTTAAAGAAATTTCCTATATATTTTTATGTAAAACTTTGCTTCTGGGGGTCATGGGGGGATGCTTCCATATAAATATGATCAATTATGGCTTTGTTGCTCTTGAGAAGAAGATTTTTAAAGAATTTTCCTATATATTTCTATGTAAAACTTAGGTCGGCCATTTTGGCTCCGCCCTACCCCCGGGGGTCATGATTTGATAATTTGGAATTACTTGAATGAGGGCGTGGCCCTTCAAAAGAGATACTTTGTGGCATTGTGTTTTATTAAAAGTTTACAGACAGATACAGACAGACAGCTGGACAGACAGATGGACAGACAGACGGACGCCGGACAAAATGTGTTAAAAAAATATTTACAGAAACATGATGAAAGTGCCTGTGATTATAACTTAGGCTTTCACATTGCTCTGGGTTTGGTATCAAGAGAAATTATCTTGTATACAGCAGAATTCGAAATAAAATCAATTTATCAATGGATGAGTGATGATATTTGTCTTCACAGAAAAATAAAAGCTACAGAAACATAAAATCATTAACTCTGACTATTACAACAAACGTTCCACAAAACTAAAGTACACAATGCACTGGGAATGCATTGAAAATCAACCAGGGAATCAGCGTTTCACTTAATGTGACAATTGTTAAATGCACCGAGTTCCTCTAAACTACATATCTGATGCCCATAAATGTTTAAATCATAGGGGAAAATCCCCCTGTATCAGTCAAACTTTCCAGATATTTATTACAAATCTCTTTCATCGGTGTTATGAACACTATCATAACACAAAGATATGGGAAAAGTCCTTTACTGATTTAGTCTCTGGAAAGAAGAGACAAATGCATACTGTACAATGGAATCAAACAGCAGCCATTATCTGTAGACAAGCCAAATATCATTACTGTCGATTTATGACGTACTGTTGATGCTTTTCTACAGCTGAAATGGATGTTGGATTTCTACAAACAGGCATAAAAGAACAGATAAAACCCCTAATCTCTAGTCAATTATTGGCCCAGAAACAGATGAATATGGATCAGTAGTTAATTAGGCATGATCCCTCACATCTTTCCTTTAGCATCACTATCATCTCTGGCTGTCAACTCACTTAAACAGATAGGCAACAATTGTCATCACCGTGAAACCTTAATATTGCAGTTATGAAAAAACATTTTCTGAAAGATACCCTGCGACATATGACTGTAATTTCAGCACAAGCTTAAAGGATTTCAATCAAAAGATAATTGGATGTTCTGAAGCCAATCATTAGACAATTAACTGTCTGATGCAGAGAAAAACGTAAGCAGCCATTGTGCAATGGGTCCTTCACTCAGTGCAGGTCTTGCTCCATCAAGGTTATCTACATTCTGGAGCAATATAATCAGAATGAGGGTAGTCTGTACTCTAGGACCTATTTGGATAATGACATAATGTAAAGAAATTCTTATGGTTCTTAAGGATGAGTTCCCTTGCTCCTATGTTTAATAACAGACCTCACTTCAGTAGTATATTACCTGGTTGTGATCAACTAGACTGGGACTGAAACCCAGCCCCTGAATTTCCAGTCAGATGCTCAACCAACTGAACTATAAACCAGCCAGGGCAATCCAGTCAGGTGCTCTACCAACTGAGCTAACTAGCCAGGGCAATTCAGTCAGGTGCTCTACCAGCTGAACTAACTGACCAGGGCAATCCAGTCAGGTGCTCTACCAGCTGAGCTAACTGACCAGAGCAATCCAGTCAGGTGCTCTACCAGCTGAGCTAACTGACCAGAGCAATCCAGTCAGGTGCTCTACCAACTGAACTAACTGACCAGGGCAATTCAGTCAGGTGCTCTACCAGCTTAGATAACTGACCCGGGCAATCCAGTCAGGTGCTCTACCGGCTGAATAAAATTAATATTTATTGAATTCACATAACATTACATTTCACAGACTTAGACCAAGTCATTTAGTAAATATATACTTTAATAAAAATGTTACAGTGGTTCAATATCTCACTATTTTGGAAAGCCTCTAATAGGTCTAACATTTATGCCATTGGACAGCAACAATTTTTTATTTCAGTATAACAGAACACTGTGTAACAGTTCTGAAACAATTTCAGTGTGCTTAACATGGAAAGCAATCTTTTTTTCCAAACTGAATTATAGAGATATATTTCCATTTCTAATTTTTTTCTCTGTGATAACTCTTTGAAAGTTAGGGGGAGTTTATTTCTTGATAATTCTGCCGGAATGTAAATTAGGCAGGTCGATAGGTCAGGAGCTAAGGAGGCCTAATAAGAATGCAAATCTCTTGCACATCTGTCTCTGTGTCTGACGCTAAGGAGGCCAAATATATGGCACGCCAAATTCACAAAAATGAGATAATCATAGTTTCAAAATTGATAAACTAGGTTTATGGACTGTAAAGTATAGTTTACAAACCGTAAACTATAGTTTTTCTTTTCATGATTTAACGGTTGTTAACTATGACGAATGTTAATTTAAGTTTATCTGTCTGTAATAAAGCGTTAACAATAGTTTTTGTTGATAAACATAGATTCACGTTTGTAAATTATAGTTTACAATCGTAAACTATAGTTAAGAGTTGTTAATCATAGTTTCACAAATTGTGAAACTATATTAATCAGATTGTTAACTATAGTTAACAGTTTGTAAACTATAGTTTACAAATCGTGAAACTGTATTTATCAGATAATCTATGTTTTGCAATCGCAAATGATTGTTTTCGGTGTTAAGTATAGTTTACGGTTGTGAAACATAGATTATCGCGTTAACTATTGGTTTACAGGTGTGAAATATAGATTAACGTTGTTAACTATAGTTTTCGGTTTGTAAACTATGGTTTACAACCGATAAACCTAGTTTATCGATTGTGAAACTATGATTATCTCATTTTTGTGAATTTGGCGTGCCATACAAATATGCATGTGAATCTCCTGCGGCTGCCTTTGTGTTTGACGTCAGTGGGCGAGGACTATTGAAATTGACATGGAAGTCCTCATGTAATTAAAACCTATTAATCTACATTTTTAAAGTCTAAATCTACAATTTTATTTCATAATGAAATGGAAATATAAGGAATCACTGTCTAGTTAGTGTAGTATGCCAGGGACATCAACGATAGTGGGAAACATATGGGCGAAGCCCGTTATGCATAAATTATCCCACGTTTCCCACTATCGTTGATGCCCTGGCATACTACACTAACTAGACAGTGATTCCTCAAGTAAATGAGTGTTGATCAAATAATATTTCCATTTCTAATTTTTTTCTCTGTGATAACTCTTTGAAAGTTAGGGGTAGTTTATTTCTAGATAATTCTGCCGGAATGTAAATTAGGCAGGTCGATAGGTTGGGAGCTAAGGAGGCCTAATACGCATGCAATTCTCGTGCGCATCTATCTGTCTCTGTGTCTGACGCTAAGGTGGCCAAATATGCATGTAAATCTCGTCCCTTTGC